ACGTTGGGATACAAGATCAAGGCAACGATAGCCACAATGATCAGAAGAAGGGCCAAGATAAATACATGTTGAGGATCGGGGAGAGAGTTTGTGGGAAGCAGTTGAGGAAAGATTTGGATAACATAAGAATCCAAAGACGCGAAGATGTTTGTAGGAGGGAAAATGACCAAAAAGGAGTTCAAAAGGAGTTTGAAAGGAAATGGTAGATGTGGGTAGGAGGTTAAGAGTGTGAACAGTTGTGAGGAGGGATTCAACCCAAAATTTTGGCAGAAGAGAGGCTTGAAATAAGAATGTACGAAGGACGTTATTGATAGTACGAATGATACGTTCAGCTTTACCATTTTGTTGAGATGTATAAGGGCACGAAAAACGAATTTTAATACCCTTGAGGGCAAAGAAAGTAAGTAATGTTTGGTTATTCAATTCACACCCATTATCACATTGAAAAAGTTGGATGTTGGATTGAAATTGTGTTTGAACATAAGCATGAAATTTATAGAAAACATCAAACACATCAGATTTAGCACGAAGTGGAAAGACCCACAAAAAATGAGTATAATCATCTAGAAAAAGAACATAGTATTTAAAACCACTCATACTAGTTACAGGTGATGTCCATAAATCAGAATGAACTAATTCAAACATACGAGATGATTTAGTAACAGAAGATGAAAAAGTTAATCGACAATGTTTCCCAAGCTGACAAGCATGACAAGTGGGAAGCTTATTAGAAGTACTAGATATAAATTTGCGAGAATGTAAAAAATTCAAAATAGAAGTGACGGGGTGACGAAGACGTCTATGCGAGGTAAGGAGAGAGACACCAACACATGAGGTAGCCAAAGGAGAAGGAGCCGGTGATGGAACGACATGATAAAGATCACCGACACTATCACATCGCTGAATAAATGCACCTGTTTTAAAGTCCTTCACAGTGAAACCAAACGGGTCAAAAGTGATAGAAACATAATTATCAGTTGGAAATTGGCGAACAGAAACGAGATTTTTAACAAGTTTATTCGAGACAAGTACATTATTCAAAGTTAAGCGGTTGTGAGAATGCGGGAAAAAAGTTTGACCAATGTGAGTGACAGGAAGAATAGCATCATTACCAACCATTATAGATCTAGAAGTACATGGTGTTAGAGAGAGCATGTTACCTGAGTTGAAGGACATGTGGGATGTAGCACCCGAGTCCATGTAAGTGTTGTTATCTGGTGGCGGCAGAACAGACATGGCTTGAAACACAGATGCTAAGTCTGTATATTGTTGAGGAGTGGATTGCATGTTGCCACCGAAAGAGACTCCAGTAGAAAATTGTGGATGTTGATAAGGTGCATAAGGCTGCTGAGAAATCTGCCCTGAAGGCGCATGAAACTGCTGATGTTGGGAGGCATATCTGAGGTTGGAAGCTGCTGGAACGAGTTATGGTTATTGATGGAAGGCAGGTTGATTCAGCAGCTGCGGATGCTGATTCAGTGTTGTTGGAGGCTGCTGGTGCGCAACATAGTAATGCTGCTGAGTAGGAATAGAAGACAACGATTGTTGTAAGGGAAGCTGTTGAGGAGCAGCTGTCACATTACCGAGGGCAGCAGGTGGTTGTCCTAAAATTCCAACGAAGTGGGGTTGCGGATCGACGGGATGTTCTTGAGAAAATTTTCGTGGGGCATTCCGATTACTGTTCCTGTTTTTGTTCCAGCGATTCTTAGGTCTTCCCAAGTTGTTGGATGAAGAATAGAGGGCTGCACTTTGTGTCATGGATGTTTCAAGTAGAGAATCTGAAGCTATCTCGCGAGACTCATGCAAGAGGAGCATGTTTTTGGCCTCAAGAAAAGGCGGGAATGGCTTGGTGTTAGTGATGACATCCACAATGCTATGGTAGGAGGGTGGAAGTTGTCTAAGAACTTGCATGACTAATTCAATTTCAGTGATGTTTGAGTCCACATCTTTGAGATCATCAGCTAGGTTCTTAAGTGTATGACAAAACTCGGTTATAGAACTTGAGCCTTTCTTAGTGTATTGATCTTGTAGTTGTAGCATCCGAGACATCTTATTGTTCCTGAAAAATTCATCCAATCTATCCCAAAGTTTTTTGGCAGTACACTCATCACTAGATATAATTTGTAATAATCTGGGATCACAGGTACTATAAAACCAAGACTTGATTTTGGCATCAACAGAGAACCATTCCTCATCATCATCACTTGTTGGAACTGATTTCCCGGAAAGATGGCCATATGATAAAGTACCTCTACACATATTGGAAAAGATTTGCCTCCATAATTTGTATCTTGACCCGTCAACAGTTAATTTAAAACTGAATTGGTTGTATACGTTGGTAAGAGTGCACACTAAACTTAATTTGGATGGGGTTGTAGAGGATGATGATCTAGGAGTAGAAGACATGATTGTACCTTGGAAGTAGTAGCCGAGAACAGGAATGTGGAAGATAGCAGATAGATCACATAAGAGACAGAGGCAGCAAGAGAAAACTGCTATTACTGTGTTCTGAAAGAGAAGGGCAACAACAAAATCGATGGTAGCGACAATAGCAGGCGACTGGAAAAAAATTAACTGTCACTGGAGTATGTTGAAGTCGTACATGATTTTGTGTGAGTAATAAAACCCTAGCTTGATACCATGTTGATTAGGGTAAAAATCCTTGTTAATGGGAGGCTGTGAATGCAGTATATTTTATATAAAAGAATATTACAATAAGGTCCCTACACTATACAATATGTATAAATAACAATATAAACTCACAATCAAACATTTCATCCCCAAACCTTCCATCACTACCATGTTATCGACCATCATTTGATCAGTCTCACTATCCCGCTAGCTACTACTTTCTTACAATGGCTCCGCAAATGTTTCCACTTAATTCACTCTCTTCTCAACCAATGAGATTTTACCACAACCAATCTCAACCACACATCGTCCGAATGTGGATCTTGATCCGTTTGAAACGATTCAAGAAACTCAATTATTTTCTCAACCTCAACCGCACTTTCAATCCCAACCACGCCCCTACTCTACGAGTCAACCGATTCTTTTGATGAAGGCTATGTTGAAGATCCCATTCAAGAATCATTTCAAGAGCTCGAAGTCGAAACACAAGCACAAAAAAAAGGAAAATGGAGGGCTCAGTGTAGATGGTGCACGGATGATGAAAAGAGGGCACTAGCTCCATCATAGCTAGATGTGTCGGAGTACCTGATCCACGACAAGACCAAGACTCAATAACTTTCAAAGAAAAAGTTTGGCATAACTTTTGTCACCGCATGAAAAAGAAGTACCGCAACCCCGATTCACTTTACTCGAAGTGGTGGACCACCAACCGATCCGCTATGGAATTCAACGGCACCTACATGAACGCGATCAAAACCCCCCAAAGCGGTGCAACTGAGGTGGATGTCATGGCTAAAGTTCGAAAGATTTACAAGGCGAAGGTCGGAAGAGCTTTTGCCAATGAGTCGTTTTTGGAGAGTTGTGAAGGGCAATCAAAAATGGCTAGATCTGAAAATTCCTGATCATTACGTGGTGATGTCCAAACGAAGCAAAACTTCGGAGTCAACCCACAGTCAATTTTCCGATGCGCGTATTGGAGGGATTGACCTCAACAATTATGAACCATATGCAGTTCCAACTCGTCCTATGGGACGAGACAAAGCAAAAACAAAGCTGAAAGGAGCACAAAGTTCATCGACTGAAGTGGAGGAGATAAGGAGCGACATCAAAGGGTTGGACGATAAGCTTGAATATTTTTTGGAATTAGGAAAGATAAAAGAAAGGAACCGTACGTTAAAACTTTTCTTAACCCCGGAAGAGAACTTGTCCGAGGAGGATCGACGGATCTTTAACAATGTAAAAAGGATCTCGCTAAAGAATACAACAGGGATAAGTCGTAATATTTTTATATATTAGATGCAGTTTTTATTTATGTTTTTCGTCTAGTATTAAGTCGTGTTTTAGTCTAGTATTTAGGAAGTAATTTGTATTATAAATTTCTAATCGTATTTTATGTTTGAAATTAATGTAACCTTTTTTTATTTAAATATTAAGTGTTTGTCTTTAAAAAAATAGAGTTTATAGACGAACTTTTATTTTAAAAAAAAACGTTTTATACAATTTAATAAAAAAACGTTTTATACAATTTAATTTATAACATTTCAATTTCCTCCGACTTTTCTCACCAACTTTTATACATTTAAATTTCCACCAACTTTTCCTACCAAATTTTATAAATTTAAATTTCCACCAACTTTCATTAAATTTTCCACAATATTTTACCCACTTTTGTCTATATCATTCACTATATATAAGACCACACTCTCAACATTTTATACATAAAAACTATCAATCATTCTCTCACAAATTGTGTCTTTCCTATAAAAAAACAATGTCGTCCTCGTCTTCGTCTTCGTCTTCGTCTTCGTCTTCATCGGACGATGTTTTTAATAGCGTAGTACACTCACTCTTCTCCATACGTAATAGGCTAGAACAAAATCTTAACAACCAGGAATCCAGCAGTGCGCAACGAAAACGAAGAAAATATATCCAAAGACAACGTGAAGTAGCCCACCAACGTCTCATGCATGATTATTTTGACGAGCATGATATCTTTCAAGGATATTATTTCCACCGATGATTCCGGAGGCATAAAGATTTGTTTATGCGTATTGTTAATGGTGTGAGTTCAGTGTCTAAGTATATGAGGCAACGCCCGGACGCAAAAGGTACGTTAGGCTTTGATCCAATTCAAAAATGTATTGTTGTATTTTGTATGTTAGCATATGCCACCCCCTGATGCACTATACGAGAGTTGTAGGTTATCTGCACGTACCGCACGAGAAAGTATTACCGAATTTTGTAGATTTGTCATGTCTTTGTACGGTCCACAATATTTGCGTCGCCCTACTTTTAGTGACATACAAAAGTTGTATGCTCATCACGCGAATGTTCACGGTTTACCTTGGATGTTAGAAAGTTTAGATTGCATGCGTTGGAAATGGAGTATGTGTCCTAACGCACATCATGGACATTACACTACGGGTAATTATCATTATCCTACGATCGTGCTTGAAGCTGTAGCCTCACAGGCTTTGTGGATCTGGAATGCCTTTTTCGCTAGTGTCAGTTCGCTTAATGATATTAATATTCTCAATAACTCACCAATATTTAACAAGGTGTGTGACAACACTACCCCAGATTCGTCATTAATAGTCCGAGGAACGGAATACAAATTTGGTTACTATCTTGTGGATGGGATCTATCCTAAAGTTTCTGTTTTCGTTAAAATTTTGTCATGTCCGGATGACCCTCATAGGTCCAGATTTAAGAGAATCCAAGAAAAAGCGAGAAAATATATTGAACGAGCATTTGGAGCACTTAAAAAGCGTTGGCAGATAATTGCCAAAGCATCCATGTTTCGTGATATTTCTACTATGACAGTGGTGATGTATACGTGTATCATATTGCATAATATGATACTAAAACATGAAGGAAACACGATATGTGTGTACGACGAGAATGAAATCATCCCAGAGACACAACCACTAGAATATGGCGGTCAAGAATGGCTACAAATAATGAGGATAATTCACAGTGTAGTAACCCATACCGATCTTTGCCACCATTTGACCGATCATTTTTGGACGATGAACAATTTTGATCTAAATATGCCACCCGAAGACGAATTGGAAGGCTAGTATTCGGAGGAAGACCCGTTGCAAGGCCAGTATTCGGAGGAAGACCCATTGCTTTAGTGTGTTTTTTTATGCAGTGTGTTTTAGCTATGAAGTGTGTTTTTTATATATTAAGTCGTGTTAAGTCATGTTTGTCGTGGCTTGAATTATTAAATCGTGTTTTTAGATATTTTAGGTTTTACTTTATTGTAACTTTTTTTTAATTTAATATAAAATGTTTGTGTTTTAAAAAAAATATAATTTATACTATATTAATTGTTTGTGGTTTAAAAAAAATAAAATGTGTTTAATATTTGTGCACAAAAAATGTTCGTATATTAAAATAAAGTAATTTAATTAAATAAGAAAAAAAATGAAGTGCTAGGAGTGTTACCACTCCCTACCAAATGCTAAGATTAGGTGCTAAATGGTCAAAAATAAGATGAAACTAAAAAAATATGACGTGACAATGTGTTAAGAGTGTTACTACTCCCCTTAGCCTGGGCTAAGCGGAGTGGCACTCGTTATGGAACTCGCCAACCATGCTAGAACACTGCCCTTAGCTCTCGCTAGGGGGTCACTACCGGAGATGCGCCAACAGTTTGGCGAGAAGAGAGGGAAGACCTTGGACGATTTTGATTGGGTGGACTGTGTTTGACCAAATTTGCTTCCTTCTTGACTCAATGAAATTTTTGAATTTAATTTCAACAACTAATTTACCAATTTTCATTTAAAAAAAATGTTTTTAATAAAAATATATATTTAACTTCCATTCAATTACAATAAATTAAACCACACTCTCAACAATTCACACACAAAATATCATATCTCTCTCACAAACTCTCTCAATTCACCAAGGAAAATGTCTTCGTCTCAAAAAAAGAAAACCCCAAGAACCAGCAAAAAGAATGCTTCAAACCATCCATCACTAAACCTTCCACCTCCAAACACTCAATCCCCAAACCTTCCATTACCACCATGTTATCGACCATCATTTGATCAACGAATTCACTCTCCTGCTTGCTACTACTTTCCTATAATGGCTCCACAAATGTTTCCATTTAATCCGTTCTCTTGTCAAGAAATGAGATTTTACCACAACCAATCTCAACCAACACCTCGTATGAATCTGGATCTTGATTCGTTTTGAAACGGTTTAAGAAACTCAATCCACAGCAACGAACAAGAGTCAACAACTTTCAAAGCAAAAGTTTGACATAACTTTTGTCACTGCATGAAAAAGAAGTACCGCAACCCCAATTCACTCTACTTGCAGTGGAGGACCGCCAATCGAGCCGCTATGGAATTCAACAACATCTACATGAACACGATACCCCCCCACCCCCAGCGGTGCAACTGAGGTGGATGTCATGGCTAAAGTTCGAATGATTTACAAGGTGAAAATTGGAAGAGCTTTTGCCAATGAGTCATTTTGGGGACTTGTGAAGGGCCATCAAAAATGGCTAGATCTGAAAAGTCCCGATCATTACGTATGGATGCCCAAACGAAGCAAAACTTCGGAGTCAACCCACAGTTAATCTTCCGATGCGCGTATCGGAGGAATTAACCTCAACAATTATGAGCCATATGAAGTTCCAACTCGTCCTATGGGACGAGACAAAGCAAAAAGAAAGCTGAAAGGAGCACAAAGTTCATCGAATGAAGTGGAGGAGATAAGGAGAGACATCAAAGGGTTGGACGATAAGCTTGAGGGTTTTTTGGAATTGGGAAAGTTAAAAGAAAGTAACCGTGCGATAAAAGAAAGGAACCGTGCATTAAAACTTTTATTAACCCCGACAGAGAACTTGTCCGAGGAGGATTGTCGGATTTTTAACAATGTAAAGAAGGATTTTGCTAAAGAATACAACATGAATAAGCCGTAGTAATTTTATATATTAGATGCAGTTTTAATTTATGTTTTTCGTATAGTATTAATTCGTGTTTTAGTCTAGTATTTAGGAAGTAAGTCGTGTTTTTAATCGTATTTCATGTTTGAAATTAATGTAACATTTTTTATTTAAATGTTAAGTGTTTGTTTTTAAAACAATGTTTATGGACCAACCTTTTCCACCAACTTTTATAAGAAAAACGTTTTATACAATTTAATAAAAAAACGTTTTATACAATTTAATTTATAATATTTAAATTTTCCACCAACTTTTCCCACCAATTTTTATACATTTAAATTTCCACAACTTGTATATATTTAAATTTCCACCAACTTTTATTCAATTTCCACCAATATTTCACCCACTTTTGTCCATATTATCCACTATATATGTGACCGCACTCTCAACATTTTACGCACACAAACTATCAATCATTCTCTCACAAATTGCGTCTTTCCTATAAAAAAACAATGTCATCATCGTCTTCATTGGACGATGTTTTTGATAGCGTAGTACAGTCGGTCTTCTCCATACGTAATAGGATAGAAAAAAATCTTAACAACCATAAATCCAAAAATGTGCAACGTAATATATACAAAGACAACGTGAAGTAGCCCACCAACGTCTCATACATGATTATTTTGACGATCATGATCTTTTTCAAGGATATTATTTCCACCGACGATTCCGGATGCATAAAGTTTTGTTTATGCGTATTGTTGACGGTGTGAGTTCAATGTCTGAGTATATGAGGCAACCCCCGGATGCAAGAGGTACGTAAGACTTTGATCAAATTCAAATATATACTATTGTATTTTGTATGTTAGCATATGCCACCCCCTGATGCACTAGACGATACTTTTAGGTTGTATGCACGTACCGCACGGGAAAGTCTAACCGAATTTTGTAGATATGTCATGTCTTTGTACGGTCCATGATATTTGCGTCGTCCTACTTCTAGTGACATACAAAAGTTGTATGCTCATCATGAAAATGTGCATGGTTTACTTGGGATGTTAGGAAGTTTATATTGCATGCATTGGAAATGGAGTATGTGCCCTAATGCATATCATGGATAATACACTAAGGGCAATTCTCATTATCCTACGGTCGTGCTTGAAGCTGTAGCCTCATAGGATTTGTGGATCTGGCGTGCCTTTTTTGGTAGTGCCGGTTCGCTTAATGATATTAATATTCTCGATAACTTACCAATATTCAACAATGTGTATGACAGTACCGCCCCAGATTCGTCATTTGTACTCCAAGGATGAGAATACAAATTTTGGTATTATCTTGTGGATGGGATTTATCCTAAACTTTTTGTTTTCGTTAAAAGTTTGTCATGTCCGGATGAACCTTAGAGGTCCATATATAAGGGAGTACAAGAAAAAGCGAGAAAAGATATCGAACGAGCGTTTGGAGCACTTAAAAAACGTTGGTAGATAATTGCCAAAACATCCATGTTTTCTGATATTTCTACTATAGCATAGGTGATGTATATGTAACATCCGTAAAATTCATAAAAATTTAAACTTTTTCAATCACCCCTAAAACCATAATTGTTTACATTGTAGTTTTCTAAATAGTTTAAACATCAGAGTTTTCCCAAAATCACAAAACAAAACATGAGGAAGTGCATGATCAATTGCCTTCCCACGATCATCTGAGGTACTTGAAACAAAACCCAAAACTGTAAGCCCAAAGCTTAGTGAGTTCCCCCAAAATACCAACAAAACAAATAGCACATATACAACAACATATTATGGGCCCAATCAACCATCGGGTTGGAATACCTCAGGCCCCTCAACCATCGGTTTGGAATGCCAACATACTATGGGTCCAATCAACCATCGGGTTGGAATACCCTAGGCCCCTCAACCATCGGGTTGGAATGCCAACATATTATGGGTCCAATTATCCCCGAGGTGGAATACCCTAGGCCCTCAACCATCTGGTTGGAATGCACCGGCCTGTTGGCTTACGCACAAAGCAGTGAAGCCTAAGCCACAAATCAAACATGTACATATAATTTAGATAACCATACTATTAACCAACTAGCAAACAAATAAACAAATCTCACACATCAGTAAGCATAACATCATCCTATCTAACATGATACTGATCTAACAGATCACTATAACATAACATGCACAACAGGATATCAATCTAAGGGCCGACATTGGTGCCTTCGACCCACAAATACAATGATGAAAACTCACCCTAGCCCGGTCTCGAGTCCCACTTGGCCTCGGGCCCTGCCTGACATCGAGCCCCGCTCGGATTACAGATATGTCAATCACCAGGCCCCACCTGACGTCGGGCGCCGCCCGATACACACATAATCATATAACCATCTAATCATATAAACATATAACTTTACTAGCACATGCAATAATCAAAAAGCCTATAGCATCCCATACAGTCATCGATCCATGCTCGACATTGGGCCTCGCCCGGTAAGCATAAAAACACATACTGATAACTAGCATACGGTATCCACATCAGGCCCCGCCTGGCATCGGGCCTTGCCAGGTAAGCATACCATAATATAACACATGCAAGAGTCGAATAGACATCTAGCATCCTAATATATAAACCATGGGCCGACATTGGTGCCTTTGACTCGTTAAAACCAGTGAGGAGACTCACCTCGCACTGCCGAAATGCACAGAAAATCCCTGTGGGCTAGCTTACAGATCCCCGAACTATCAAGATCAAAACAACACCCGATCAACATTTGGATCCCAATCCATAACCATAAGTCCGACAATCCATTCTTGCGGTAAAAAACCATTTTACCCCTCACCTAGTTTGGCCCAAGACTAAGGCCTAAACTCAAAATCTAAAAGGCCCAAAACCAAATAGTCACTCAAGGCCCATACTTGGCCCAATTTTCAAAATTGGGCCCAAACCCTTTACATGGGCCTTACCCTAACGCCAAACATACAGTCTAAAAGGCCCAAACATAGCCTAACATAACCCATGGTCAACCCTGATCAAACTTCTGTTCAAAATCAAAGTCAACAGCCCATGATGACCAAACACGCCGTGTTGCCCCTTGGACACGCCGTGTTCCTCCCTCATGCAGATAATTGGGAAATCCCTAGCGAATACGCCGTGTTGGCTTGCAGACAC